GTTTCTCCTAAGAAGGAAACCACTCGCTTGCAATAAAAGGCGCAGCGTTGGTTTCAAACTTGGAAGACAAAAATAAATAAGAAATGCATACACAAATTTGTAACTATGTATTATAAAGCTTTAATAACAACAATAAGTAAATTAAGTGAACTAAGAAAATACAGTAATATTAACCATTTATAAATTGTTTATATGGTTAATGTACTATATTTTCTTAGTTCACTTAATCTAGTATTCTTATTAGAATTTAATAATATGTATATAGTTGAGGCGCTATTTCACTACAAATTTATAGTTACTGATACGACTTTTTTCTGTGAGTGTAGTAATTAAACATTTGAAAGAAGATTGCTGGTTGCAAAAGATCAACTGGAAGATCAAGGTTCATAAAGAAGTCTTAAAAATAAAGTCTAAAAGAGTTTATCTAAGTAGAAATCTTTGCAACATTTAAATTAAATCGCATACCACTCCAATTGTGTTGCAATTGTGTGCGACATTACCAAATGTAACATAAAAATAATCTAATAAATCTAATATAAATAATCTAATATAAGAAATAGGACAGTATTTTACTTATTCATGAATTATTATGATTTTCGTAATCTATTAAAGATGAACCCACTTGAGAATATTAATAAAGGACCCCGCAGCAATTCTTATGGAAATGGGATCCTGGTCAATGAAAATGGCTGAAATTTTGATATGATCTAGATTTTGGTTCACTGATTAAAAGTCTCAATGGTTACCAGGCCGAATAATCAATAGTTTTGAAGTTATGGCGGCTCAAAAATCCAAAATTTACTTCCATCGTCAGGCGGTATGACGTGATGTTAGGCACATGAGATTTAATTTAATATGTTACATCTCCTTAAAAATCTTCATTCATATTTTTGGTGATATTTCAAAAAGATTTTTTCTGTAACATTTCATCAATCTTTCAATAAGGTTTTATGTACAAAATCGTGGACATTGGCTATTTCAGAGCTGTCTCAGAAATGTTGCAAACATATTTCGCAATTTTTATGAAATGTTTTACTTTTCAGTTGAAATATTTCTGAGATATTTCTGAAAACTTTCGATGCTGTATGGGTAAAAAGATTTGACAAATCGCTAATGTTATATTCAGTTATTAATTTTGCTACTTTAACATAAAAAATTAACTGTCCGTATATTACATTTGTATAGATTTGCTGAATTAGTCAAGTTTTTATTTTTCTATTTTTCAAGTTTTTATTAGTTAAGTTTTCTTTTTCTCTAGATAGACGCGCCACTAGATAGACGCGAGTTCTTATTTCTCACAAGTAAAAATCCGTAAAGATCAGAATAAAAGACGTAGCATGTGTTTGATGAGATTTTTCATCTGTCTTCTAATGAGATGATTCTTTGAAAGCGAGGTCTCAAAATGGGATTCCAAGATGAAACTTACATTCCCGAGATTTCAAAGTTATTTTAATAAATTTTCAGTAACTGTTGGAAACGCGGCTTAAGCAGGGGGCGCTGGGCTGGCTGGGCAGGCAGACCTTAGTCTTTGATATATGTTCTGTGACCTTAGTGAACTTGTCTCTCGCTTCCGCGCTTGCACGTGTGGATTTCTGAGAGAGGATGACGACTATTTTTTCTACGCGTGTCTTTTGGGAGACCTGATTTTGTGTTGTAAAAGTTTATAGCGAGAGTATCTTTTTGTAGATTTAAACACACCCTATTTGTAAAAAGATTAGAATAGAGAATTTTACACGTATCCGGTTGTGTGAGTTTGCTACCTCGCCTTTGTCCTACGATCAAAACTCTACATCGACAACAGTAACATTTCTGACGTATTTCAGAAAAGTTGTAGCAATCTCAATAATTTTTTGGCAATATTTCAAAAAGATTGTAGGTTTTTAAAATGACCTTTTAGCAATTTTTCTATTAGATTTCAACTACAAGAATCGCGGACATTTTGCTATTCCAGAGTTGTCTCAGAAAATATTGTAGATATGCTTCGCGATTTTTAAATGTTTTACTTTTCATTTGAAATATTTTTGAGAAATATCTCTGAAAAATTTTGGTGCTAAGTATATGGACACTACACATATTTCTATAGAATGAGATACTACATTTGTAATATCTATGTGTGTATACATTCGTGAGTCATCGACAGATGCTTTTAGCACGCAATTTCGTGACAGTACTATGTATGTATTTATACAGCATGTATCATGATGCAACATACATATAACGATATATATGTCTACATGTTATTATTTCAATGAATCCAAGCAAATCAAGAAGTCATGATAATATTGAATGGTGAAAATTGCTTCAGAGAATGATTTTCTTCAATTTATATTCATGATTCCGTTATGTAACCTTTTTTTGTTCTGCTAAGGAAATGAGACCAATCATTATCTCTTAAGCGGATGTTTGAAGTTATCATGAAATATAAAAACAAATTTGTCAGGATATCGAGAATGCAAAAAAATCTCGACTTTTATAGAGATGATAAATGGAGCTTGCCTTTACGGTTGCAATGAACCGAATAACAAAGATCGTTGAATTCAATGCATATTTGTGAATCCCACGATTTCTCAGGTTCCAGCAACTTTTCTGATTCCTCCATATGGATCTTGCAATCGTTATCCACTATTTTCGCAACGTTAATCTTATCGTTTGTTTTCACCATTTTGCTAGATACTTCATGTGATGAAATTCGTCGTCAATTCATTAATTAAAGAGCTGATGTTTACAGTACAAGATAGCACAAGTGCATGGATATAATAATCACTAACAATAACAGTCGCATATACGACGAACTGTAACATTGAACTTCGATTTTATGACTGATTTCATATTTCGTGCTGCTGAATATAAGTGTAAGCAGTGATGTATCTAAGGGGAGGAGTTAATGAAACCGACTCCCACTGTTTAAAAAAATTAATTTAGGAGAAGGGGAAAAAATATCGTCCTAAGAAATCTATCTCTAATTATTATCTGTGTAAAGTCTTATTATCAATCAAACACAAAGTGATTTTACAGTTTAATGTATATCGAGATCCAATAATCTCAATCTCCCGTAACTCACGGTCTCGCGTAAAAGAACCACGGTAGTGTCGTTACACTTGGCTTAGCGCCAAGACACTGCCGTGTCTCCTGATACACCATGTAGTAAATGAATTCTTTTCAGCCAAAGAGAGCAAAGTGAAATTGTAACTTTTTCATGAACATAAATTTCTAAATATCTAATAAAATACTGTCTCAACACATTATATCTAAATGTTATTTTTTTTATCTTACATCTTCATACTATGTAGTTTACATGATGTAATTTTTTTCAAAATTAGAATGGATAGAAAAAAATGTAAAAAAGTAAAAAAAAACTCAAATCGTAAAAAATATGATAGTATATATATATAATATATATATATATTTTTTTTTAGTACAATATAAGTCAAGTTTTAGTACTAATTTAAGTTTGTCTTAATAAAAAAAATCATTACAAAATTATCTTTGAAAAAATAATAAAGGTACTAAGTATACGCGTTTCTTGAAAAATAACTGCAGCTACTTTTAAAAAATAAATCTCGAATGGTACGTTTCTTTGTATTTCTATTCATTTTTCCTGTTCCAATCCAAGTAGTAATAACTTCAATTCTCCTTAAAAAAATAATATTACAAAATTGCACCAATTAAAATAAAATTTAAATATACATGTTGTGTTACCTAACTGAGCAATCTAAGTGATATGTATTTACGAATTCCCATTCAAGAATAATTTTATTTTGATCTAAGTAATATGTTGTATTTTTTTGTTTGAACTCAATATTCAAAGATATTGAATACAAAAAAATTGGCGCTGAATTGCTACAACAAATATATAGGGTGTTCTGATATTGCCATCAGTACTGAAAATCTTACGTTACGTAAAGGTTTTCAGTGCTGGCCATAGATCGGAAACATGGCCACAAAGTACTAGTTTTAATGATAGAAGGTATGTCCCAGTTATAAAAAAACAACTCTGATATTTATGAACGCAGCAACTTTGGGCATACATATAGCGCATGAGCAAGAGCTATTCATCGTTCTCGCATTGTCGGAAAGGTTACTTTTAATCGCCATGTAGACGTTGCAGTTGTAAGCGAAAACGGAAATGTTATACAAGCGTCACGGACTTCAATTTCGTAAGCGATAGCACACAAAGCATCTTTTACTATAGTTTATACACCGATTGAATGAAGCTTCTCCGCCAATGCGGAAGAGGTAATAATAGTTCCCATTCGTGCGCTGTTTGTCCGATATCGCTGATTTATAAATGTTAAAACTTCTTTTACACACTGGCACTTTTTGTCATTATAATTTTGTATATGTTATAAATTTTTTTTATTATATAAAAAAGTACTACCATTTGAGATAGAATTATTTTGAAGTAGGAATTTGAGAATACGTATTATTTGAGTTATAGATAAAAAAAGGTATAACTTAAACAACATATTTTATTTTACACACTTTATCTTAATTGGTGTAATTTTGTGATGTAATTATTTTTTCGGAAAATTAAAGTTATCCTTAGGTTAAAATAAGAAGAATGAATAAGAATACAATGATAACAGTGAGATTTTATCTTTTTAAGTAGTTGTACAACAATTGTTTTACAAGGAGGGCATGTATTCTATTTTTTGTAACTGAAATAGTACACATATACTTGAATTTAAATGAAATGAATATACATTTGAAGTTTGGCGAAAGCAAAATAGAAAGTTCAATGCAGTTCAATAGGAATACTTCGTCTTTCTGTACTAATTTAATTCTTTTATTCCTTCTAACATCTGTATTTATTTTCAATGTATGTATGTACATATTCATTACGTGGCACATAATGTATACATGCATAATTACCTAATGCAAGTTTAAGGAGGTATGCCATGATTCCTTATTCACCGGAAATAGTATTAGTCCGTACACGTATATTACATAGTTACGCTAAACTGATTATGCAGTTATCTTGTTTATGAAGAGACAAGTAATTTTAATTACGAATGTTGTACATACACGGAATTTTATGCACGGAAAGTACGCTATAAATTAATTATTAAATAGTTGTACAACATTACGTAATACAGACATTACGTAATACAGATTTTAGTAGAGATATTTATATTATTGTATTTAAATTATATTGTTGTATGTATAAAAATGCGTTATAAAACAAAAAATTTACATATAGACCGGTATCCTATTTTTAAAAAATCCATTCAAATATAATATCTCAGAAACATTGCGTTATGTCGAAAAATGTTTCAGATAAAAGTTTTGTGAATTCGAGGAGGATATAAGATGGTACACTGTTAGAAATGTGACCACGAGTTTCTTTTACAGTAAATGAAGCTCGTGGTTATGAACGAAATTAGAAGTAATGAATGATTTAACTAAAAATTAAATTACAGTAGTTACTTAAATGTAATGAACGTGTACATTAAATTTCATAAATTTTCATGAAAAATATATTAAATTTCATGTACATGTACACAAATATACTTTTCAGTTATAAATACATTAAATTTAATGTAATGTCATGAAATTAAGTTCAAATTGTGTAAATTAAAAGTATATTAAATTTCATGAAATTTTTAACAGTGTACCACTGGTTCCCATACAGCACGGAACTTGCAGCAATGTCGCTGCAATACCATATTGCTGCAATGTTGCAGTAGTATTGCTACAACTATTGTGCTGTAGGGCTTTGACCTTGGATGGCATTGTCAAGGTTAGAGCAAGGTTATTTAGAATTTTTTAAATAAAACCTTCTATTTTTTATTACATATTTTCGTAGCTTACATCAAAGTACTTTTCAAAACACTACATAAAAATATTTTTTCATTAAGTACCTTTCGAATTATAAGATTTGAAAATTAAAACATTACCAGCATTAGCATTACGCAAAGTGTTCAACTGATGACTAAATGTTGTAAAATCTCTTAAATGTTGCAAAAGTTTACGATCTTGATAACATTTGTTAAGATATCAAAGTCATTGGAGAGTGTTTCTTTTTTATTTTCATTTTTACATAAAAATAAAGAAACAACCTCCAATTGTCTTAATCTTAACAAATGTTATCAAAGTCATGACTCTGAGCAGTATTTGAGAGATCGTCGGCCTGACATTTTTCATAATGCTAATGCCGACGCTACTGTAACTTTAAATCGTATAAATCAAAAAATAATTAATGAAAAATATTTTATTATAGTCCTTGTAATCGAGAATGAATTGAAATGGATTTAAATGGATACAGATTTTCAGAAATATGCATTCATGAACGTTAAAATGAATCCTTTTCAATTCATAATTTTTTATTCATTTATATTAGAAATTGCATGAAGCACATTTCTATCCCTTTCAATCTAAAAAAATATATTATCTTTTTCTGTGCATCGTGAATATATATCGTGAATATATACTGCTCAATTCAAAATCTGAATAGGAAATGCAGTTTTTCAATCCAATTGTTTCTACGGCTGAATTTAATTGAATTTGGATTGAGAAGTCAATTGAATTCAATTGAATAAAAAAAAAGTTACCGCTATTTAAAACATACATTTGGATAAACAAAATTTCAATTCATTTTAATCTATTCTCGTTTACTGGGGTGTTTTAAAAAGTAAGCTATGAGAATATGCAAAAAAATGGAGAGCTCCGTTTAAAAAAATTCAAAGGCATTGTCCTAACTTTGACAACGCCACTCAAGATCAAACCAATGGAATCATTTTATGTTCCCCTCGAAGTCACAAAACTTTTGTCTGACACAATTTTGGATGTAACGCAATGTTTCTGAGATATTTGAATGGATTCCTTAAAATGGGACACCCTATATGATCAGAAATATAAAATTATCGATACATATCGCGGCATTAGCAGAACTTAGTATCTAATTATTATCATTATTATATATATATATATCTCAATATATGATCTTTTTGGAATTTCAGACTCATACAAATCAGTTTAAAATTTTTCAATTTTTAAATGTAGAGTAAAACAGACTAGTTGGGTACAGATGCAAATTGGGCCTTGGGATATACAAATATCTTACATTTAATAATCAAAACATATATGAAACACATATGAAACATGTCTATACTTGGATAAACTAGAGGATTTGAAATTGAAAATTAATCCCGAGCTCATATCCATCCTGATGTTCTACAGTGTGCTAGAAAATTATGAACCGTTCAGTTGCCATCAGTGTTACTAGATGGGCCGGGTTTCTGGCGCATGCGACGATGAAGCAGCGAGCGCAGTGGCGTAACGGAATGTATAGACAGTGTAGGAAAAATAGTAGTCTTGGCGGGATCTGCATAAGGATGGGTTAGGTAAGGTAAGTATATTTTATTTTATTTTAAGTATACTTTATTTATATAAGTATGGATTCAAAAGAAAAAGGAGCAATTAACAAACGTAAAATTAGAGAATTTCAATCTTCATGGTTAGATGAGAACGTATTTAAAGGATGGTTGGCTCCTTACCACAAGAAAATAAAGCAATATGTACTACATGCAATAAACTCATCAGATGTTGTAAAACAGATTTGATTCAACACTCACAGACGGTCAAACATATTGAAAATATAAATTTAAAAAAATCGATTGATAACGATGATAATAAATTAACAGAATTATCACATAAAGTTAAACGAGCCGAAATTAAATTAGCAGCATTTTATGCTGAACATAATATTGCTTTTTATACCATAGATCACTTAGTTCCACTATTAAAGGATATTTGCATAGATCCTACAGTTGTACAAGATTTTGCAATGGGCCGATCGAAATGTACAAATATCGTTAAAGATATAGTAGCAAAATGTGAAGTCGAAAAAATTGTCGATAATTTACAATCTTCTAGATTTGCAATTTTAATCGACGAAAGTATCGATATTTCAGATTCAAAATTAATGTGTGTTCTTGTTCGATATGTTTCTCCCGTAAATAAAAAAGTTGTAACACAATTATTAGAATTAGTTTCTTTAGATGCTAGAGATTGTTCCGCGCGTAAACTTTTCGAAGTTTTTAAAAATCTATTAGAAGAAAAGAAAATTCCATTTAAAAATATTGTCGGAATGGCATGTGACAATGCATTAGTTATGATTGGATGCAATAATTCTTTTATGCAACAATTAAAATTAGAAATACCGCGATTAATAACGTTAAATTGTATTTGCCATTCCTCCGCGATTGTTGCCAGTAAAGCTTGTAAAAAATTGCCTTCATCTTGCGAAAATTTAATTAGAAGTATTTCTACTTATATTTCGGGCAATGCGAAACGATGTGCAATTTTACGAGAATTTCAAGAATTCTTCGAAGTGGAAAGGAATAAGTTATTAAAATTATCAAATACTAGATAGCTCATTTTACAAAAGTGCGACGTAAAAATTTTTGAAAATTGGAACGTATTACAAAATTATTTTGTTTTAGCAGTAGTTGAAGATAAATTAAAATTTGCGGAAGTTATTTTATCTCATCTAAACGACGACATAATCAAAGCGTATTTTTTATTTTTACAATATGTATTAAATTTTTTCAACAGCTTTAATGCTTTATTCCAGTCACGTAAAATTTTAGTCCACCAATTATTTGAAAGTAGCCAACAATTGATTCGTCAATCGAAATTTTATGACAGTAAATTCATTAAAATGTATTAGTAATTTAAATGTAGATAATGAACAAAATATATTAAATTTAGAAAATATTTATGTTGGACTGAAATGTGAGAACCTTTTTAATTTATTAAATTATATTTCATTTATTTTATTATAAAACACAATTCTTACATATAATATTATCTTCATAATCAGCTTATATAGGAAAATAAATCTTATGTTGTTGTTATTATTATTATTAAGCACGTTATATGTATACAGGGTGTTTCTTAAATACCGCCCACTAACCATATAGCGCTATTTCTGATAAAAGTTGAGTCGATAAATATTAGGAAAATTTTTTCTACAGTGCTTATTGAAGCAGTTATTATCGAGTAAAGATAATCCAATCGACATCGTGCTTTAAACGGACGCACGTCCGTAAGTCGCGCACCTAGGGTGCGTTCTACTTGACGCTCGCATCACCCAATTCACTTATTATGCCGTTCCACTTGACGCTCACAACGTTCATGGAGTGCCATAACGACTAACTTCAGACGATTGAAATGAACGCTCGCAACGCTCGCATTGAAGAAGTGGGTTGGCGTGAGCGTTGTGGGCGTATGACGTCACAAATCTAACGTGCCATTTTGATTGCATATTTTGTTTAACGGTTGCTCGATAATTGCTTATTAAAAATGGAAAAAGTTACGTTATACGATTCTGGAACTGATAAAATGTATGATATTTTATTATCCGCCAACGATGCACGACGTGCTGCTTCAGATAATAAACATTAATCGTGAAATATTGGCTGCCATTTTGATAACGCTCACAAATCACTTCTAGTTCATTTCACTTGCTGGCACACTCATGCTAGTGGAACGAGTGATCGCGGCGTAGAAAGCGTGAACGTTGTGAGCGTCAAGTGGAACGCACCCCTAGTAGTGTGCGCTTCACCGCGCCGATACGCTGCTGACTTCGCAGCTATCGCGCAATGTCCTCGCGTGTCGTAGTAAAGCGAAAAATTACGATCTTTGTCAATGAATAAATATTATGTCGCGATAATATGATAATTACACAAATTAAATACATAATGTTATGTTTGACAGAAGTCATGCATTATGAACGGATAGACACATCACCGAATTTCGTATCAACGTGTTTGCGGAAACACTGCGAGATGAGAGAGAAGTTTCTAATTATAATTTTTAATATTATTTTTTAACAATAATTTTCCTTTATATTCAACTCTAACATTGAGAAGGATCCGATGCGGATCGAAACGTTTGTTATCATTGCCGGCATTTAGATTAAAGTTATTGTTATGTTTATGTTATCTTTATTTTTATTCTTTAAATCTGATCACACGTATTAAGCTTGGCTCGTAGCCCTATTACCTATTTACATTTGTAATTATTGTCATGCGGAATAATTTTAATTCCGGATAAAGATATTTTAATTTCTCAAAGACCACTAATAACAATATGCATAAGCAACTTTATTTTGTAACAATATAAAACGATATTCTAAGACTAACACTGAAGAACTTAAATTTCTAGCTGCCGACTTGTTACATAATAATAATTCAACGAATTTTAATTATGTCAAGACAGCAAAAATTCTATGAATTAAAATTATGTTACGTCTCGTACATAATAATAATAATTTAGTTAATTAAAATTGCGTCTAAACTGACATAAAAATAATTTCTATTATGTGTTGACATAATTTTAATTTTTAATTAATTCAATTACTATGTTACAACATAATTTTAACGCGGCAGTTAAGGATTTGAGTTCTTTAATATTAGTTTAAGAATATTGTTTTATCCTATTAAAAACCAAAATAGCTTGCATTTTATTACTCGGGATTGTATCATTACTATAAAATTCAAGTTCCTTTATCCGGAATTAAAATTCGGGATTGTATCAATACTATAAAATTCAAGTTCCTTTATCCGGAATTAAAATTATGTTCCGACATATCTTTAATTCATTAACAAGAATCGTAATTACTTTTAGACAATTGTTTTTTAAGAATTTTACGTTAGAAAAAATATCTTTTATGTCAGTAAAAATAAACTTATAATAAGTCGGCAGCTAGAAATTTAATCTCTTCAGTATTAGTCTTAGACTATTGTTTTATGTTGTTACAAAATAGTGGCTTATGCACGTCGTTATTAGCGGTCTTTGAGGAATTAAAATATCTTTATCCGGAATTAAAATTATTCCGCAACATAATAATAATTACAAATGTCTATTATGATGTAATTTTAATTTGTATAATTATTATTATGTATTTAATTTGTATAATTATATTGTCATGACATAATATTTATTCATTGATAAAGATCGTAATTTTTCGCTTTACTACGACATGCAAGGACATTGCGCGATAGAGGTGAAGTCAGCAACGTAGCGGCGCGGCGCGGCGGAGCGCTTACGCACACTACTAGACGCGCGGCTCACGGACGTGCATCCGTTTAAAGCATGGTGTCGATTGGATTATCTTTACTCGATAATAACTGCTTCAGTAAGCACTGTAAAAAAAAATTTCCTAATACTTATCGACTTATCTCAATTTTTTATCAAGAAGCACTATATGATTAGTGGGCGGTATTTAAAAAACACCCTGTATATACAAAAGATATAAACAATTCATACAACTTTTTACATTCCCAATTCGATTGTTTCCCTTAAGATTTTATTACTAATTAATTTTTATAATTTTATTAATAATAAATTTTTATTAATTTTAATAATAATAATTTTAATTAATAATTAATTAAAATTATTATTTTTTGTAATTTTTTGTTTAAGACATACCTTAAAAATAGATTCTCGTTTGAGTTGAATACTAATTTTAATAAACGATTTATTAATATTAACTTTACTGATCGTCACTTTTTTGCATAATAAATTTTCCAAAGAAGTACTGCATAAGTGATCAAGTGAAAAAAGAATATCCAAAAAGCAAGTATTATCAGAATTACATGGAATGGAACTGTTGGCATGTCCATCATCGTGAGAATCTTGCTTGGTGAACGCAAGTAACAGTAGATTTCCAAACACGTCAGATTCGGTCGATCAAGATAGATCGCTTGCATTACTCCTTCAAATGCGTATCTACAATAAAATTTTTGCTTTTCAAAACTAAAAATAAACAGTGAACTGGAATTACAATAAAAGCGTATCTCCACACGGAAAGAGAAATAATTCTCAATAAATAGCAGTTATAAATTAAAAATATTATTTAAACGGAAAACATCATATCTGTAGTAATAAATTTAAATGCTACAAGATTTTAATTAATAGTCGCTATAATATTAAATTGTACCTGAAAAAGCTCACATAGCCTAAAGGCTGCACGTACGTCGACATTTCTCCTAATTTTAAAAAGAATCCAGCGAACAACAATAATGGTATACTAATCGCCGGTATTAAAAATATACCTAACTGAAAAGAAATCATACTTACAATTAGTTATCTAATATTCTCATATTAAACCCAAAGAATAATATATACAAAATGCGGACATGAGACGTGTTAAAGATGTCTTAAAGATGTCTTTAAGACATTTTTAAGACGTCTTATGCCCGCATTTTGGACACATTGTCTTCTGGGTAGAAATCGATTTGTAGTTTGAATAGTATATGCTCATTAGTAAACTTGAAAATTTCTTATTAGAAATAAATCATCTGAGAAAGATATAATTCATTAATATATATATATATAATTTATTAACTTATTATTATTATAATTATATCTTAGGTAGCAAACAAGCACATTATTTTGATATCAAATACTAGGCACGTTTGTACTATAATATCGTCAAAAGACCAAAAAATGACAATTTTATGAGTCATTTTAATGATGTTTTACTAAAGATTATTTTACATCAGAGCTGTCCAAGGCCGGTGTTTTTTGGCTTGAAATTGAAATGTGTCGGTATTCACGCCTATTATCGTTCCTACTCCTCACTTCATTGCTGTTTTGTCGTAGCGCGCAATGCTCGGTCTCATGGACGACACTAGTCCGAAATCGTTAAAAGTTTTTGACCTGTGTTTTTCACTATGTTTAAAAGTATTCTGTTACTAATATTGTAAGGTACTATTCATAATACATTTAACTATAAAAATATGAATAACAGAATACTTTTAAACATAGTGAAAGACACAGGTTAAAAATTTTTAATGATTTCAAACTGGTATCGTACCTGAGACCGAACGTCGCACGCTATTACAAAATAGCAATGAAGTAAGGAGTAGGAATGATAATAGGTGTGAATACCGATACATTTCTATTTCAAGCCAAAAAACACCGACCTTGGACAACTCTGACTTAATATACTGGTTCTTTCTAATCGTGCTCTCTTTAAACAAATAATAGAAGCACAAACAGGTAACAAAAAATAAGATGCTATTCCATACGTGAAAAATCAGTGAAAACTGTAATTTTTGTCATTTACAAAAAAAAGTATTTATAACTTTATTAATAACTATGTTTATCTTTTTGACAATATTTATTGAACTATCATATTTCCACTAATGTGTTCATCATAAGTGTTCATTAAGTGTTCATCATAAAAGTAGAGGAGAAGGTGGTATTGTGGCCTCCATTAATATCTCCGCTATTATATAGCGAATTCTAATGATTACTTAGGGAATTATTAGTTCAGTAGCTCGCCGTTATATCATGACGCTAATATTACCAATACTCAATAGCCAGCACTTATTATAACGCATTTTTACTTTCAAGTATTTCGAAACGTTTCTGAGATATATTTTAGCATTTAATTACACTTACTTCCTTATTTTTCTTAAACTTGAATGTATTATCACATGAATATATGTATATAGTTTTGAGTGTTATTTGCTATTTAACATTTTATTTGACTGTATATATTTTGAATTATGCCAATTTAAACAATAGCATAGCATTTTGCTAATGTGACTCTCTATGAGTATTGATTATTCACGATCCCTTTTTTGAAGTTTTTATATCAAAATAATTATTTGATATGTTCCATTATAGCTCTACTGTTAATCTATAGTTTATATTACATGTACTATTTTTAGTACTGAGATTTTTAGTATTGTGCAGCTTATATGCATAAGTTATGTGAATGTATATATTCATTTGTATAATACATTTTAAAATGTTTTACTTTTTTGTTAATTTTGTAACCAAATACTGTTTTTTAAACAAAATTAATATTTTAAGACTATTATTATGGAAAGCCACATTACCATTTTTTTCTTCGAGTCATTATGCAATGTCGCTACATTATTAATAGTATCCTAAATAATAAATATTTCGTAATTTTGAGTCCAGAATCGATTTAACAACATTTTAACAAATATAATTGTCAAGTTTTAAACTTAAATATTGATTATTAACAAAGTTATTGTGTAAAATGTAACTGGGATGCTATAATACCACCTTCTCCTCTATTAGTTCTGTATGATCACAGAAGAGTATAATTATATTGTTACTTTGTTGTGAATATGACGTCAAAATCTGATATTAAACCATTATTTTTGTTCTTATATTTAGTCTTAGGAACGTCGATTAGTATTATCAATACTCGTCAATGAACAATTAAAATCTAACGTCAAAGTGACATGTATTTACTACTTAGACTTTTCCTATTGTAATATGTAATGTTAAATTATTATGACCTTTCTCTTGTTTTTCGATCATAAAAGTTATGTAATGTAAAAATTAATTAAAATAGTAAAAAATACGCCATTGAAATACTTGAGTGCCACATATTACGCCTGCAAATATCCCGATCGTTTGTCCAAGAATCGTAATTAATAGGCAAATTCCCCACATCTGTAGAAATCTATCATATTTCTCCATTGGCTGTCCTGTTATATAGTACGATATAAGCAAAAAAGATGAGGCGCAAATTATCTAAAAAATAAACGAAACTTTAATTAACTTAAAAAGCAACAACATATTTATATAGTTATAATCTGATTATAATCTGTAGTCATAACTTCATACTTGAAGGAAATAATTAATAAGAAAGTTATAGTGCTGTATTTAAACATACTTGCATTAAGAGATCCGATATTATTTTTACACTGTAGTAAGATCTTAAAGAGTACCAATTGTTTAAATGTTCTTGTAAAAACACTGTCGCTTCAATGGGAACTGCAATCAGATGCATTTAACTCAATACAATTTATGAAATTCATAAAACGCGTTTATAATAATCATAAACACGATAAGTTGTGAAAATATTATCAAAGAGATTTATTAACTTTTTAGAAGTATTGAAAAGATATATTGTAGTATTATATCGATAATTTAGTTATTTGTCAACAAAATATGCAGTTTACTTAGCGTTACAAATGCTTCGAATCATTTGATTGATCAATCAGAAAAATTTTACTAACCAATAAATATTTCGAAACATTTGTAACATCAAGTAGATACTATAGTTTATATCACATAAATTATACAGCGTTTATATGTACGTAAAAAAAGAACATATATCACTTACACATTTGCACTGCCAGTATGGCATTTGTAAAGAATAAAAATAACAGACAGAAAAATAAATAAGCGATGTTGCTTAGAACTTTTTCCGCGTCATCACCAAAATTATAGAAAACTATCCCTAATAATAGCCCGACTATGACGTGCGTCACAAATCTTAGTTGTGTTAAGATCTGAAAGATTAATCAAAATTATAGCATTTTAATTTGTCAAACAAATTGTTTGAATATTATTTTCGATAGTTTTTACTCACTATATCTCGTTTGATGTAAGTGAAAGCTCGTAAAAATAAAATCTTTTGCTGTTGCCATGTTGACTTCTTTTGTATTATGCTATTTATAGATGTATCTGTATCTTTTGTTTCACATTTCTGCTTAAAAACAATCGATAAATCCAATTCTATAAAAAAATTAATTAAATAATTGGAATTAATTAATTTAATTTAATAATAATAGTAAAATTAAATAATAATTTAATTAATAATTTTATAAGTATTAGAAAATGTTATTTTTATATTTTTTTTATATGAATTATCTTTATGTATATTATTGAATGACTTATTCAATAATTCTTAATTATTGAATGACATAAATTTTAAAACGCTATGGTACGTATTTAAGTTTAACGTACAAATGTATCATTAAGGTCATTAATTGCTAAAGGACCCCGCACAGATTTTATGGAAAATGTCCCTCGGTTAAATTAGCTGAAATTAAAGTATGTTGTTCTTGACGTCCTAAACAAAAGTCTCAATGGGCACGACTCTCTAAATTCAATACTTTTCCATTTAGAGATGTTTAAAGTACGTGGAAACCTGTTACTTCACGAACCAAATGTATGAATATATACAGGGTGTCTTTAACAGATCACATCACCAACCATGAGCAGGTAGAGCGGATCAAACTGAAAAGTCTTGTACCATTTTGCAGTTTGCGCAATAGTTAATGAGATATTAATGTGTTTAAAGATAACCGAATACGCGCATCCGCCCGACTTACTACTGCCGAAAGGACGGCCCACCAATCGACCCCTGCGCCATGCGATCCGATCGGTAGGCCCGGTGGAGGCTTCTTCTTCTTTTTCTTTATTTATTGGTTCTTGCCTCCAAGTAAATAGTAGGAGGACGATACGGCCAGGTCACGTCTTAATGTGGAATAGTGCTGCGTTGATTGTAAGTCGGCACTAAGGTAGGATACGTATAAGGGCGTGCGCCGAGATGGAGCAGAATACTCACACCGTAATTTTTCGCGACGAAGTGCCGAACGGAAGTGCCAGTTAAACTGGCTCGTAGTCCTTCTTTTAACTATTGACTTGTAATAATTCTTTTTGATTTATATGTATCATTATTTCGAGTTAAGTATCCGGACAATTATATACAATATAAAGTGAAAAATGTCTTGTTGGGGAAACCCGCATGCGCAAGAGAGATTATCGACCAAATTTTTGCGAAAAAGACTGGAATTAAGATTATAATGGTTTGAACGCAACCGATTGAGAATAACAATTTCCTCCCTGGAAATCTTTTTTCGGAAGTACCAAGGTTTTGAGGATCTAGAGAAAATATGCTCAAAAAAGAAGGTGTCCTTAACGTTAGAAGAGTTATCAAGATAACGGTAAAAGTCGCTCTGTATGTCCTGATTGATTATGGCAAAAAGGTCCGAGTACGGAACTTTAAAGTTTGGTTCAATGTCGTATGGCTCTCTTGGCGAGGTTGTCAGCCCCAAGAAGGGACCCAAATGAATTGCACCCTCATGCCAGCGTTCGCAGCCTCCTCCAAGCGCGTCCTTATTAGGGGAATAAGATAATTATTGGTGCGGTTACAGAAACCCCGAATAGCCTCCAGGGCACTCTTAGAATCGGTGACGACTGTGATGTAGGTCAGATGGAGATCAAGGGCAATAAGGATAGCATTATAAATTGCAAAAGTTTCAGCGGAGAAAACTGAAGTGTAAGAGGAGAGCTTATACATAAGTTCAGCGTGGATTTGAAGGGAATAGACAGCGGCTCCGACGTAAGTGCTGTGATCGATTTTGGAACCGTCCATATAAAATACCGTAGAGTCGGTGATCAGGACATGGAAAGTTAGTTCGAATATGGGTTGTGCAGATTGTTTTGGAAGCTGGTTAAGGGTGTCGAAAGTAGCAGAGGAAAGAGAGTAATATGAAAGAGAGAAAAAGTTAGATTGGAAAGAGTAAGAGTGTCTAAAGGCGGGGAGAGTGTAGGAACAGTCAAGGACATAATGATAAGACCATATACGTGAAAAAATCAGGCCGGAAAGTGAAATCGTAAATAATTATACCCATTGGTGCGTAGGAAGAGATCACATAACTCGTGTAATTTGGAGACAGCCGGATGGTCGGTGACAGAACTAATCTTCAAAAAATAGCGCGATGCAAGGAGACGAAATCTAAATCTGAGAGGAGGCTCGATGGTCTCAGCATATATAGTATCACGTTAAGAGGAGATGCGTAGAGATGCGATATCCGAAACATAAGCGCAGTGCTTGATTCTGGATGACCTGAAAAGCCTTAAGAAGGCTACTCGCAATGAGACCGAAAATATGAGAAGCGTATTCAATCGAAGCACGCAGCATGGACCTGTAAATCGCGAGCAGCATATGGTGGGGAGCATCCCACCAGGTGCCGCGAAGGGCAGAAATAACTTGAAGGATACGTTTACCCTTGATAATGATATAATTCATATGGGCCTTACCAGATAGTTTTGGATCGAGCAACACGCCGAGGAAACGGGCGGAAGAAGATGGAGAGATATAGTGATTATCATAAGAGATACGATAAACATGCCACGAAGTAGATCTCTTGGTGGAGAAGATCATCATTTGCGTCTTATGCGGCGAGATTTCTAGTCCTCGAGATTGGATGAACAACCCCAGGTTGTAAAGGGAAGTTTTCACGGAATGGAGTCAGATCGGTGTTTTTATTAGTAGAAAAAATGATAAGGTCATCCGCAAATTGTAAGAGCTCTGTAGATGGATGTAACGCGTCGTTGATTTTATGTAAATAAATGTTAAAGAGGGTCGGGCTGAGTACCGAGCCCTGAGGAGTGCCTTTGCAGGTAATTTTGGAATCAAAGAGGGAGCCCTGGTTAAAGAATTGAATAATACGGGAAGAGATAAGGTTCCAAATAAAAGACAGCGTCAGGGGGAGGGATATTCATGAGAGTAAGTTCTTGAAGGAGGATATGAGGTAAGACGTTATCAAAAGTAGACTTAATGTCCACAAAAACTGCGACCGTATCCTGCTTTTTAAGGAAGCCCAAGTGAACGCCGGCGACGAAAGTGGTAAGATTTGTCCTGGTAAGACCTAAACTTACGGAATCCAAATTGATTGTTAGGAAGAATGTCAAAAAGAGGGGACTCAATGAGCCAGTAGAAACGGTTGAGAATCATTTTTTCCATGATTTTAAGAGTGCATGAAGTAAGAGAGATCGGGCGAACCCCTCTATTGTTAGGTTTGGGGATTAGATGTATCAGAGAGTGTGTCCATTGGATCAGAAAAACAGAGAGGCGAAAGAGATTATTGAGAATGTTTAAGAAGCACTCCAGGAGAGCGATAGGGAGAGTCTTGAGGAGTCGATAATTGACTCGGTCTAGTCCAGGACTAGAAGAGGACTTAACCGAATGAAGAGCAGCATGTAGCTCATTGATAGTGAAAGGTGTCCATCCAGAGGAGGTTACCTGAGTAGAGTTCAGGAATCTCTGGAGGGGGAGGAGAACTAGTACAGGAGGAGAAATAGTACAACCAGTTCAACTTATTCTAGTATTACACTGTCAGTCAGTACAATATAAAATATATCGAAAAAAGAAAATTGTTTTACATAAACGATGTAACATAGAATAAAAACTTGTGCTCTCCACGAGCTATTTTTTTCGCTGTCTTAACTATACCAGTTCAACTTATTCTAGTATCACATTGTCAGTCAGTACAATATAAAATATATCGAAAAAAGAAAAGTTACTAAGCAAATGTCAAATATATAATGATATATAATTTTTAAGTTTGATCAGGGGATCGATCATGTAACTTAAAAATTATGTATCATTATATATTTGACATTTGCTTAGTTACTTTTACCCAGAGTTCTGACTATCTTGAAATTATTACAAGTCCTGAGTACTTGAAAATTTTTTATTCTGCGAATCTTACGATGTTATGTTCAATACTGATTGTGCAGGAATAGACTTTTGATTTTCAGCTTGTGGATATTTCTTTACAGTAACAGTTTGTTGAATACTTGCAGCTGTAGTTTTCTCCGGAATTCGATTTTTTAAATTTAATAATACTTTAGGAAAAGAGCTTGAAGAAAAAGCTTGCGATTTAAGATTTGGTGGTGAAAATGGAGAAGAATAATGAAATGGAAAGATTATAAAGGGATTATTTTGAGCGACAAAGTTGAATGTAGGAACTGTAGAAAGTTGAGACGGGATTTTAGGAGCGAAAATATTCTGTAAGCCCTCTAACAAAATTGACTAGTTGTTTCTTTTAACATATTTCTTTGGCTTTCAAGCATATTGCTAATTATTTCTTGCTCAAATTGTTGTTCAGATTTAATTAATTGTTCAACAAAGCACCGATTCTCTACCATAATCTTGTTTTGAACTTCTTCATAATTTTCTTTTAATTTGTCTGCGTATTTCAAGGCCATAGCTTGTTTTGAGCTCTTTACTTGACGTCTCTTTGCAGGAGTAGGACTATTAACCATACTTTCAGTATGCGATTCGCTTAACGAATTTTCTTGTGTAAATTCTGTTGTCGAATTATTGTCCGACATTAATGAACACCCTGGGACTGCACCGTCTCGTGGATCTGGAGCATCTTCATAAATGCTGTTGCTTGAATCTAGTATAAAATAGTATTTTCATCTATTATAGAACAATATTACCTCATACATATGCTTTTATTAGGTTCTTACCTACTATAATTCATAAAATTACATATGTAACAGAATTTACTACTGTCACTGATCTCAGAGATATTTTGTAATGATGTGCTGTCTACACCATCCTGTATGGCAATGGGACGAAAATCCAAAAGTTGGCTCATTTCTTCGGCATACGGAAATGAGGACATGTAATTGCCAGATCCACTTTTTTCCATTTATCTTTTGATTTTGTTATATTGAGCTAAAAATGACAAATAACATTACAATACAAAATTATTGTTCAATACATCAAAAGCATGCATTACCAACAAATTTATTTTATTTCTTATAAAATATATTTTTACTTACGCCTCAGTGTTCTAAATCTAGTTTGCATTTGCTTTGACGTTTTAATGTAACCTTTTTCGTTCAAAGACGATTCTAAGCTGTTAAAAATGTCAACTGCTCGAAACCTTTTGCCGTCTAAACTTTTCATCACTTGCCGTTCTCTCGTCAATTTAAGAAAATATCGAGTTTCATCAGTTTCCCAACTTTCGCGCTTTATCGTTTCCATATTTTTACCTTATTTTTTTAACCTGTGTGTTTACGCGGCTCGATTTACGTCGAAGTTATAACACCGACGTCGTTTACACGTCCTTTTAATGTCGATGTTATAACTCTAAGCCTCTTCATCAAATGACTTTGAGTTACTACATCGAAGTAATAACTCCGTCTTAAAGTAGCGTTTACACGGCATCTAACGTCAGTAGTTATAACATCGATGTTATAACTTCGGCGTAAAGGCCATGGCACACACCTTCCGTAACAGTAACCATAAGACGTACCATAAGAATCAGCCAATCACAGGTGAGAATTCTTTTGAACTCTTAATTCTAATTGGCTGATTCTTATGGTACGTCTTATGATTACTGTTACGGAAGATGTGTGCCATGGCCTTAAATCGAGCGTGTAAACGTAGTCAATGGCGGAACCCCGCTCGGATCAGGTGCTAAAGGGGACGCCCCGGCCTGCATGGCAGAGCCAGCAGGAAAATCAAGAAAAGAGCTCTAGAG